ATACTCATGTAATGGTACAAGATCCCAATGATGTATGTAAATGTATTTTATACCTAAAATGTACCAATAAACTTAATGGGAAGGGGGGGAAGAATTATGGTGTTATGTGTCTCCTCAGGGTAAAATGAGACAGGAAGCTAGGGTGTGGCTAAAACTGGTTAGGAAAGGAGGTTTGACAAGATTTTTGAATACATGCTTAGAACAGTTCCCAAAGCACCCATGTGGACATCTTGTGAGAATTTGAGCAGGTTTTCAGTAGGATGGCCTAGACTTGACATCAGCCCAAAGAGTGGGTGATACAAAAAGAACTGTCCACATTAAGTTTTTGCCACTATGGTCTCTTTTATGTGGTGGCCCACCCTCACACTTTAAGGTGTACTTCTTTTCCTGCTTTTACTTTCCCCAAAGTTGCTCTGCAGAGCCTGTTTCTTTTCCTACTTTAATAAAACGTTGCTACCATTTGCACTTGTCTTGATCAATTCTTTGCTCAGGACAGAAAGAACCTAGAAACCACCTCCAGGAGACTCTAGCACCCTATAATCTGGTAAAAATAAAACAAAAACCTCTTTGGCTCTAAGTCAGCCACAAAATCTAAAACAAATACTGAAGTCTTCTCCTACCTTTCTATCTTGGAGCTGGCCACAAAAAATTCTCAGCATATTCCCCACCCCTGACTCTACTCCCACTCCACCTCCACCCCACAGCCATGGGAGCAGCTCCCCCACATCCCAGAGGGTGGCCATGTCCACTACATGCACATGTCTCATCCAAGGGCACACAGGGAGGGAGCAACTCAAGAAAGACAGAAGACACCTCAGTTGTACCTGATGATTCTGGAACTTTCTGTGATCAAACTGTCAGCAATGACTTGGAAGAACATTTAGAGGAACCCACTGCTGAACCAGAGCCTGATCCTGACCCGGAACCAGAGCAAGGACTTGTATCTGAAATTCAAGAGGAAAGGTCTGAGCTGGTATGGTCAGAAGAGTTCTCCAACTCCTACAGGCACAACTCAGACAGTACATAAAGACATTTCGTTGGGCATCTGTGACTAGTAAGAACCTTCCTCCTAGTGGAGCTGTACCTGTTACAGGGATACCTCCTAACGTTAAAGTACCAACTTCACAGCCCAGTCCAGAGTATAAACCTGAAACTCAGATTCCACAGAGGACTCAGAGGAATCAAAGAGTATGAGAACGATGAATAAATATTTCTCCCCAGACCAATCAATCCATAGGGTGAACCTCGAAAAATTGTCAGGTGTCCTGACAGTCACCAACTCCACATTGGTAACTTGCCTCATGAGCTGGACAAATCAAAACTCAAAGATTTCTTTTTTTTTTTTTTTTTGTACCGGGGATCAAACTCAAGTCCTTGAGCTTGCGCGGCAGGCGGCGAAACCACTGAGCTAAATCCCCGGCCCTCAGAGATTTCTTTCAAAATTATGGGAATGTGATGGAGTTGCACATAAGCTGGGGTGAAAATTACCCAATTCTGGTTTTGTCATGTTTGATGATTCTGAGCCTGTGCGCAAGGTCCTCAGCAACAGGCCTATCATGTTCAGAGGTGAAGTCCATATGAATGTAGAAGAGGACACTCAAGCTGCTAGGGAAGGGGATCTATGCGGTAACCACCTCTGAGCACCTGGAGACCCTCAAGGTGGGCTGGGCCTGGGCAGTGGAGTAAGAGGAATGGTGCAAAAGCCAAGATTTGGAATAGGAAAGGGGATTGCTCCAAGGCAGTGAATTGCTCTTCATTGATCTTCGCCTATAGCTCTAGCTCCTGCAGAATGGTGAATTTCTTCAGCCATCCTTTGCTGTCTTGAAGTATGCCCCAGTCTGTTATAAACTGCTTAAATTTGTACAGTTTTATTTCTTTTTGTGTTAATGGTGTGTGCCTCTCCCTCTCTCTCTCTCTCTCTCTCTCTTCCCGCCTTTTAGTCTTTACTTCCAATTTTGTGGAAAGATATTTTAGTAACAGGAAGAAGAAAGAAGAAGAAGAAAGAAAAGGAGAAGGAGAAGGAAAAGGAAGAGGAAGAAGAATGGGCTAAATTTCCTTGTTTGCTTTGCATATGCAGGCTGGGTTTTTTTTAAACAGTCATTTCCCCAAAGGAGTGTGGCTCACTTATTACTGACATTTTCTGTTTCATTCATTCATTTCATTCATTCATTTCTTACTTCTTTTACGGACTTCAGAAGACTGAGAAATACAGGATTTTGATAAACATTTTGGAGGCAGGAAAAATCCAAATTATTTCTTGTTGGATGTCATGTCTACCTTCTGATGTTGAAAAATGGTCATACGGAAAATTTGAAAAATGCTGTTCTCATTGATATGGCTAAAAACTGAGTAAAGGGTGTTATAGAACTTTTCTTTTGATGTTGATTACAAAATATTTTTAAAACCTACTGTTTTTACCATTGAAATTTAAATTGTAAGATAGGTTTTGAATGTCTGGAATGCAATTAATAGGCCTTTCTTGAACTGTTAGGTTTTTTTGAAGTAGAGTCTTTCATTTGTATTTGTTAAAAAACAAAGCAAAGAAAAGCAAGCCCCCAAATCCAAATAACAACCAGAGAGAAAAAAATTCTCAAACTGACTTCATCCTACTGTAGATCATAAGAGCCCATTTCAGAAGCAGGCTTTGCCCTACATTCAGCAGTAAGGAATACGGCACAGAGGCCATGGAGAATATGGACAGATGGGCTTGGCTGTGTCTTCCCAGTCTGTTGCTACGGGGCCATATACCTTTGTCCAGCCTCATTTCTACATCTTTGTTCTTGCATCATTGAACCTAACATAAAAAAGGAAAGTTCACCCTGAGTTTTTAGGGTCATCAATCTGATAGCTCCCATGTCACATAATACTGTGATAAAATAAATTTGTTACCGTCATCCCTTGTTAACCTGTCTCTTGGCATAGAACCATTGACTATGACCCTTGTGTTTGTTTCCTCTGCTATGAACAAATGCCCGATATAATCAACTTAAGGGAAGAAAGATTTATTTGGGCTCACACTTCAAATGGATCATCCCGTTTTCTGCTATTACATATGCAATCAATTCTGCAATAGAGGTGGGTGTTCGATTCACTAATCCAATTCACTTCTGAAGCTATCTGGAGATAGTGCCAGATTCACCAAACTGAGGAGTAACTCCCCAAGACCCCACCACTACACCCCTTTCAGATGCTAGTTGCAAGCCCCAGCTTCTTTTACCTATGCTTCTGATCAACTCTCTATAAATTAAAGTCGCCCAAATCCCTTTTTCAGGTTCAAAATTAATTTGCCTAAGCAACTCACAGTACCCAGGAAAGCACTTACATCGTACTGGCTTATTGTAAAGGCTATTAAAAGGGTCCAGGTGAGGGTACACAGGGCGCAGTGAGGAAGGGGCACGAAGCTGCGCTGCTGTCTTGGGGTGCACTGCTCCATGTTCTCAGCTGTTAGGAAGCTCTCTGAACCCAGATCTTTTGGGGTTTCACAGAGACTTTATTGTATTTGCATGACTGAAGTGTGGACACCTGTCAAATTTGGTTGAACAAAAAGGATGTGATCTAATACTAGTGGGGAAACCCAGCAAATTTGATCTGTTCAGATTCTTTTCCGTCTTTCTGTACAGCGCCCCCTCCCCCATCCACCCCATGGAACAGGATCCCTTCGGCAACAGTGTCTTTAATATACTCATAGATAAGGGAAGTCAGAGAATTCTGTTATGGCCTTCTATGAGGTAGAAGGAAGATAAGAATTTCTATGAACTAAGTTGGGGAGGGAGTTCAGAGCCAGAAACAATGAGTGAAACTCAAATGTACATGTTTCAATATCACAGTCCCTAATCTCTTTCCCCAGCTCATTTCAAACCATGTGCTTCCTCCAAACAACATCTGCCCTTCTTTCATTTCCTCAAAGCATAGCCCTGTCTCCAGAATGTTCTTCTGTGATCTCTTCCTCCTGGGCTCCGTTCTCCTCATCGTTTAGAGCTTGCTTCTGTCAGTTGCTGGGAGTCTTTTCTGACCTTCCAGAGAAAGTCTGGTCCCACTGCACGGATGCTGGGCTCTCAGAGTGCCAAGTGCTTCTCCTTTGTATGGTTTTCCAAGTTGTAATTTCCTCTCAATAATGAGAATGACTGTCTGCTCCCTAGAAAACCACAGGTCTCATGGGAGAAGGAACCATGCCTGCATGCATTTTCCCTGTGTACCCCAACCTGGCACACATGAAAATTCCAGCCAATGTTTGCTGAAAGAATCAGTGAGCACTGCAGTTAATGGACCCCAACAGCAATTCTTACAAAACTATGTTAAGGGACTTGGAATGTAAACGTGGTACCATTCCTCGGATATCTGTACAATACCATCATGTTTACTTGGGAACGAGAACTTAGCAAAATGTTACACTGACATTTTAAAAATAAAAGGTACTAGAGAAAGCACTCTTAGAACTAGGTAATGGCCTAAGTGGGGCTTTTTTTTGTATTGAAGTTGATATTTCCCCATTGTTGTAATTTATATTTAGATGTTCCCCAAGAGCCTCATGTGCTCGTAAGTATGGCTTTTGGAAGGGGAATGGATTATGGTAGCTTATAGCTGACTTGCTGTTTTGAGGAGGAGTCTTGCCAGAAGAGGGAGGCATGGCCTGGAAGGGTTTATCTTTCTCCCACCCCTCAACCAACCAATTCTGACTTGGAGCCAGCCTACTAGGGACTGTGAATGAGCCACAATAACCTCTCCTTCCTTAAATTGTGGGTGTCTACTATTTTGTCCAGCAATGAGGGAAGTAACTAAACCACCCACAGAAGCAGACTTGTCGCTGATAGGTGCTTTAAGAGTGACTCCACATTCCAGCCATGACCTCTTAGTCCAGAGCACCCTTCAAGCCTAGACCCATTGAATCCCCCAGGGCCTTTAGCTGTATCCTTAAGGAGCTGTCTAGGTCTAAAGGCTTTCTGAGCCCTAGGCAAAGCAATAAGTACTATGCTGACAGAAGGAAACTTCCAAAACAAAGGTCTGCTGGCAGTGATAAAAAATCAGGGAAGCGTATGGAAAAAGAGCTGCATGTGACTAGTGAGGTATTGAATAAAGGCATGGATAGGAGAGAGCAGGCTGAAGGTAATAGAATGCTCAGGGCAAGCAAGGAGCAGGATGGAGTAATCTCTCTTCTCAAATATCTGGGTGAGTTGCAAAGGGTCAGTACTATATGTTCAAAAATTGTTTTTAACATCATGCACCCCACCCCATTTCCCACCGGAAGTTCTCCTTTCTTGTACCAAGTCACAGAAGAAGTGATGATTAACTACCGAAAATACAAATCCTAAATCCAATAACAAAACATTTAAACCATACCGTTGTTCCACTCCAGGTGGGAAAGAGCCAACAGCACGAAGAGCAGCTCCCAGGAACAGGGAAAACAGCTGAAATCTTCCCAATTGTGCGTAGAACTTCTAGCCCTGATGTAGCCTGGAAATTTCAATTTCCTTGATACCAAACTTGATCTGATTTTCTTCTAGCCAGAAAGCCTTTTCGAAAGCAATGACTGAAGTGCAGTAGGCAAGAGAAAGGCAGGGGGTTTAGACTTTGAGTCACTCAGCAGTTGGTGTGGATGTTCATTGTCTTGATATATCTGCCAGTCTCTTTAGTTCCCTCCTGACTCCTCCCATCAGAGCCTTGAAAGCAGATAGTGAACTTTGGATAAACTGGATTCTTTGCCAACATTGGAGGTAGGAAGTGTGTGTGTGTGTGTGTGTGTGTGTGTGTGTGTGGCCATGCAATTTGGAAACACAGAAACATGGCCTAAGAGGAGAAGGCAAGGACTTAATCCACTCCCCTGACTTCTTCTGAAAGAAAGCTGGCTTATTATAAAGATACACTTTGGTTTTCTTTTTAAGTACATCAATAATAATTGCTTCGTTATAAAATAAGGATCTCTGTCTCTGGAGTGTAGAGCTTCCTTCTGCCCTCACTTCCAGCTCCCCATACTTCTCTCACTGTAGGTGACAGGTCCCCCAAGTCGGACCCCCGCCCAACCCGAAGGAAACCTTCCCCCAAGCAGACCACTACCGGCATCCACAGGAGGACAGAGATAACAGGAAGCCAGCAGCTGCCGTACTGTTCTCACCACCACCCTGTTTATCAGCCAGCCCCAGGCCCATCATCCATGGGACTGTAAAAATTTCCACCCTCTTGAGCAGTGCCCCTCCCCTACCTACCTCCCCCATATCAACCACGCACACCCTCCTCTTGGTGCCAACGGCCTTCTTGCCCTTGGACCATCTGCACTCAGACGGCAATAAACTCATCGCACGGTGCTTAGATTTTGCCTGTCTCAGTGGTTTCAGTTGTGCCTCGGTCTGACCTTACAGCAGGTACTTCCGTCTTCCTAGCCACAGGCTCAGATTAGTGGGAGTTTAGAGCCCAAGCCTGTATCTCGTGAGACCTCTGTCATTCCTCTTAATTGAACTGACAAATATCCTGTCTTCTAGATGATTTGGGCTCTTTACAAGGAAGTCTCCTATGAGTCTTTCAACAGATGCAGTAGAGGAAAGACTTGCCTAGTGTCTTGTGTATTCATGAACTGACCTCTTGTGTGTCCCTATCTGTGTTCATGAACACACCTCGAGTGTTCCCCCTTCATTAAACTCAATTATGACTCCAGTTCTCCAAGAACTATCTTTTCTCCAGAATCCCTGGGAAATTCTGAAGCTCCAAACTTGCACTTTAAAAATAGTGAGAGGAATACTAAGTTCTCTAAACACTTTATTTATATTATCTCTAAACATTTTGTTTATATTAGTCTTGTTTCTCTAATAGGATTGTAAGTTTCTAATTAGATCGAAAGTCTCCGTTTAGATTGTAGGTCTTGTCTCTCTAATTAGATTGCCTCTCTAATTAGATTGTGAGCACCGGAAATGTGCCTTTGGACTTGTGTTTACCACAGTGCTCAAAATGTAAACAACTTGTGGCAGATCTCCAGTAAAAAGGCAGAGGGTTGTTACACTTACATACTTTTACTATAGCTGTTGGAATGTCTATTAACAGGAGGAAGGATGAAAGGACTTTGATGTAAAGCATTTCTTCTAGGTAATATTTCACCCCTAAAGTATTCCTTTCTTCTCCAAATCATGAAGATCTTTCAAATTCTTCCTTCCCTCTATCCAGGGGGCATCACGTGATCTTTTAAACTGAGATACAACTTACACATTGTAAGATTCACTTATTTTGGATGTATACTTCCATGATCTTTTATGCGTATGTATATACCCAGCCACCTCCCACATCAAGATACAGACTATTTCTAGGACTCTGGCAAACTTAACTATTCAAATGTTAGCCACTCTTCTAACCTTTATCACAGCAGGTTAATAACGGCTACTCTTGAATTTTACATAAATGCAATCATACAATCATATACACTCATACCTGGCCTCTTCCTCCCAACATTGGCTACAGGATTCATCTACACTGTTGTACATAGCAGTGGTTTGTTCTTTTTCGTTGTTGTGTAATATTCTGTTTTATAAATATATATATTTTTTTTCTGTTCCATGGTTGCTAGACATTTGCTTTGGGATATTAAATATATATATATAAATATATTTATACAATTTATGAACATCTTTGTACATGAATTTTTGTATACACAAGCACTCATTTATATTGGGAATATACTCAAGGTAGAATTTCTGGATCAAATGCCATATGTACATAGGTATGATAGGTAAGTCATACATAGTTATGATAGGTATGCATATGTATGATAGGTATTGTCAACCAGTTTTCCAAAGGGGCTGTATCTATTTACACTCCCAGCAGCAAATGTAAGAGTTCCTGTCATACTATCATAAGCATTTTGCATTTAGCATGTTGTCACAGACTGTTAGTGTATAATTAGTTAATTGAAACTTGATCAATTGTATACTCAGTATAAATTTTTATGATTGCTTTATTTACCTACTGCAATCCTGTGATCAATCCTGTGCCCAAGTGAGCCAGTACTCAAAGGTAAGGCATGAAGACCACATACAACACAAAAGTGAATCCAAATCAGATAAACAAAGGCAGTCAGTAATGAACCTGCTATCTCCTCCTGGCCAAGCCAATACAAGTATCAGAGAGGTGATTAAGAACTCATATTGGAGCAGCACTCTCTGGAGTCCATATTTTGTTGCTGGAAGTTCCATGTTTATTACATGGTTATTAAATTCTACATAGGTTTCACTTCTAAAAAGGAAGCAGGAAACCACCAGAAAGAACTGAACCCTGTGTGATAGCTGAGGAAACCCACATCAACTGCCAGTGCTGAGCCCTTACACCCTCTCTGAAATGACAGCAATCTATTTTCTCCTCTGTGTGAAGAACACTAGGCATGGAAGGGAAATTTGCTACCAGAAAGATTAGCACACTTAGCCCCCAGAGCAAGGACATCTCTCCCCACAGACTCATAAAGGAAACAAGGGAGAACTTTCAAAATATTTTTAGATTAGTGTGTCAGGGCATTTAAAAATGTCATTTAATAGCAGAAAACTAAATTCTCTTACAATCAGTTTTGGCAACATTTACTTGACTTAAGTATCAACAGAAAAACAAAGAAGACTTTAGAATTCAAGTAAAGGGAGTTCAATCTGAGAGCCAACAGGAGGCAAGAAAAGCAGAGAAGAGACAGCAGGAGGGGGAGCACTGTTGAGAATGAGGCTGAGTGACAGTCAGTCCCGCATGACTGGGCACACTGAGGACTTTCAGCAGCACCTAGATGTTCTCTGGAGTCTGTGATGCCTTCACCCCCACTTCAGCCTTCAGCAGGTGCCCAGGAGAGTGGTCCAAATGAATTCAGGGAGCACAAAGGAGAGAGAGGGGCTCCAGGTCTGGGACAGGGGTGTAATCAGGAGGTCACCAAAGAAAATTGGGCCAGACATACAAAGCTCCTCGAAATCAAAAAAGAAGAATGAGTTAGGGGAGGCATTACATCTCCCGCCAGGAATGGGCATGAGAATTAGACATTTATTTAAATCGTAACGGTCAGGGTGACCTTCAGTAAGATGGTGCATAGAAGAAACAGGTGCACTGAGAAAGGGCAACAGAAAACAAAAGGGCACTGACAGTCACCAGTGCCATGGCAAAACAACACATCAGTTGAGTGCTATGGCCCAAACCAAGCCCAGGGTCCGTGCCCAGGACCAGTGAAATAGACATAGGAGAGAGCAAGAGAACCAGGAATTTCTACATAACAGGAAGTCCAAAAGGAGAAAAGAGAGCATGTGAAGAAAGAATGATCAAAAAATAATAAAAGAACATTTTTTCTCAGCTGAAGAACCTCTTGATTTCATACTTAAAGAACCTAATAATTATTTTGGTCAGAACACTGAAAACAGCCATATTATATGTAATCTGATGGAATTTATAAATGATGAAAAGAATATTCTAGAAGAAATCATACAGGCCTCCATGCTTCTCTCCTTCTCTTCTTTCTGCCCACCCCTCACAAATCAGGCATAAGGGCAAAGAGACACTGACCTGGGCTTTCTTATTCTGGACTAACTGTGGAGACCACTGCAGGATGCCTACAGAATCCCACAGCTCCCAGTGACTCACAGGAGCTAATAAAAAAGGGGAAGCTTACATAGAGACCTCCAAAGTCCAAGTAAAGAGCAAAGTAAAAGGCTGATAAAAGAAAACATCACTTTGCAAATAGAAAGGGGACATAGAGATTGAGGAGGGAGGGATGTAAAACATTTAAGGTACATCATGTGCATGTAAGCACCTACCCACAATGACTGTAGTCTTTATATGTGGCAAACATGAATTAAAAAGAAAAATAAATCATAATGGTGAAAGAGGATCTAGAAACAGAAGGAGGGAGGCAGGCAGGGAGGGGAAGGAGAATAAAAAAGAATGAAGATGTGTTATATATGTACCTCACTCCTTCAGATGAATGTAAATGTTATGTATGCCAAACATGTACTAATAAAAGAAGAAAGAAAAAGAAAAACTTAAAACTGTTAAGAAAAAACTAAAACCACTTAAGATATTTTTTTAATCTTTTCTTTAAAAAACAAAACAAAACAAAACAAAAATGGCCTTTTCAGACTTGCAAGGACCCAGAACACACACTTTGCCACAGTGCCTTTGGAAAAGCAGCTCTCAATACCCTGAGGCCCTCAGCCTGTGAGGCAGCTCCCCAGGACACCCTCCAAGCCTTCTCTGCTGAAGATTCTTCTACACTCCTCCTTTACAAAACGCCCCTGTTCTCTAGGCCTCGACATTGTCCTCATAAAACCTTCCCTTTGATGATGATCTCTCCTAGCCACTATCCTCTTTTTCTTTCTTTGTTTTTGATTTTCTTCTGTCAAGTTTCTTATTCCTCCTCTCCGCCTCCTAACTTTATTCCCTACTGAAAGCATTCTGGCT